GGAACAAAACAAAAAACGCACACTTTGCTTTTAATTGGAAGTTTATTTGAATGTTGGTATCTCTCTATGCAGACGACAGGTTCATTCAAGTTGTAATCGACACCGTTGGCCTCTGCATTAGAAACCCTCGTGGTTCTTACGGTGCCTTTTTCTGTTTCTGTTTCCCTTCATCTTTAACTGTTTGCACACATTTCATAAGGGCTCACGTTACTTTACGTGTTGTTGACATGTTGAACAGGAGAAATAACGGTTACACTGTGATGGGAAAACCCTACAACAGCTCCGTGCCTTTTCATGCACGCCCACTTACAATATTGCGTGTAGCCTTTCAAAACTGTAACGACTTAACAAGAAAGCACAAGTTCTTATCCTTAAAACATACTTTTTAAATAGAAATTGAGAAAAACGAAATGTTTAGGAACTCGGACACATACGTTGAGTCCGTATTGAGAGGTTGATATATCATTAGATCATTTTATCCAAGTTATGTGAGCACATTTAAATGTACGAGATATGTCTCAGTTGCAAAATTGCTCATGAGGAAGAAATTAAAGTCCAAAACGACATAAATATTTTTGAAGTTTGACATATCTGACACAATGCTGCGTTAAGAAAACTCATATTTTAAAAGTTCTCCTTCCAGATTAGCCTCACAAAACCAGATTACTTTTTAAAAAAAAATCAGATTTGATTCCAAGATAATGGATTGTTCGTTAGCTAATTTAGCATTTTAGCCTTGCAACGCTACGTTGGTCCCAAAAGCATCCAGTGAACATTCAAACTAGAAGTTAAAACGTTTGTAACAGAACTTCGCTGTGTCTATATTCCAGATACTCTCCTTAATACACTGCCATGAATGCATTGTGAACACTTGTGTAAAGGTGTTTGTTAGCAAGATAGCTAGTTAGCAGCGTTATCTTTAGCCGTTAGCATACTATATTATGACAGACTGATGAATTAACCAGCATAATGGCTTCGTTTGACAACAGCATAATGGCATGGTAAATGTTAAATAGTGAAAAGAAACCCACTTGTATAACTTTTATTATATTCACCAGCTGCACTTTAGCTAAGTAGCCATGATGGCGATCATTAAAATAAATGTCAGAAATGATGAGTGCACCGTCCAGTTTATAAAGCCTCTTTGCATTCTCCTCTAACACAGTTATTCAATAGAAATAGAAAGTGTAAGAGCAGGATTACGCAATTTGAGACCCAGCAGGTTAGTAAAGGTGAAGAAGACAACCTCCAATCACAGAGCTTCACTTAAACATCACTTAACCAATTAACTTCCACTGAAAGATGTCCACTTCAGATATTAAGGACAAACTCCTCGAACAGCGAGAGAGCTTTTATTCAAGATGCAAGTCTTCATCGTCATTTGCACTTCAGCTACAGTGTAGATATGTCAATGAGAAACGTAGGCTCCTCCAACAGAGCATCATGAATAGATAGAGGACATACAACTAATAAAACAGATAAATAGTGCAAGAGAATGTTTTGAGGCGTTCAAGTAAATACAAAGAACAATTAAAAATAGAATAGAAATAGTGCAAAGTAATAATAATAATCACAAAATCACATCTAAAACAGAAGAAATTGGCTGCAGCATAATTTGTTCAACACTTCCTCACACAGTCCACGTGAACGCATGGAAATCTAAAGGATTACTACTTAGGAAATGGAAGAAATATCTAATTTAACACAATATGAAACAGATCAAATGCAATCAATCAATCAATCAATCAATGTTTATTTATATAGCCCAATATCACAAATGTTACATTTGTCTCAGTGGACTTCAGTGGACTTCACAGTTTGTACAGAATATCAGTATGACATACGACACCCTCTGTCCTTAGACCCTCTGTCCTTAGACCCTCTGTCCTTAGACCCTCTGTCCTTAGACCCTCTGTCCTTAGACGCTCTGTCCTTAGACGCTCTGTCCTTAGACCCTCTGTCCTTAGACCCTCTGTCCCTAGACCCTCTGTCCTTACACCCTCTGTCCTTACACCCTCTGTCCTTAGACCCTCTGTCCTTAGACCCTCACATCGTACAAGGACACACTTCCGAAGAAAACCCACAAGTTGATACAAATAAAATAAAAAATAGAATAGAAATAGTGCAAGAAAGTAAGGGTCCAAAATGAACCAGAGCTCAACCCACTCGACAGTTCCTTTATTGCAAAGTCACAGGAGGGAGAGTGGTTTAAAATCCCTCCTCCACTCATTAGAGGAAGTTGTTTGTTTTCCAAATTAATGGAGGCTTTCAGACTTTCCTCCTCTGCACTTACATCCTCAGCCTGTCTTTAACGACCAGCTGAGGTTTTAATCCCCGGCATTTATTTATTCAGGGCTAGCCGTCAGTTTCGACGGCGCTGAAAACATATTTTAATGAGACGCCAGTCGGGAAACAATAGCCCGAACGGAGATGTTTTAATTGGCTCTGAGCGGAGGGAGAGAGATCATTCAGACAACAAACACGTCGTAAGTGTATACGTTGCTTAAGGTTTGAAAAGCTGCAGACAGATGCTTAGCCTCGGAGGATCCAGATCTGGAGAATCTGAGCTTTCCTCAAGTGTGTTTTCACAAGCTGCTTTTACACAGGAAGTGCTTTCTTCTTCACTCTCTACCTCAACAAACAGCCTTTTCATCTCAGATCAAAACCAGCTGTGGTGCTGTCATTGTAATAAACCTGGACTGATTTGCATAAAAGGAAAAACTATTTAAATATCTGTTTATAGTGCAGGCAAAAAAACGGTGAGCTAATCTTGAAATTTGCTAAAAATAATATAATTTAAACAGAAATGTCCTTTTTTTAGACGTCAGAGCTCAAATCTAAAATCAAGGAATTGCCTGTGGCTCCTTCAAAATAATAGGCATGTAAGAACAGTTTTATTTGCATTTACGGAAACGTTTTAATAGTAAAATGATAATGAAATAATCAAAAGAATTGCCTACAGCATATTATATTCATAATGTCCTCACACAGGCATGACAATCTAAAGGATTATTACTTAGAAAATGGATGAACTCTCTAAATGAACATCATCTGTGGGCGTCAGGGTGGGTTTGGGTTTGTAAATAATGAATATCTAATAATGTGTGTTTTAATATGTAAATGTGTCATGTGCATTGTTCTGAATATCACTTGTGTCACTGTGATGAGTTACTGTGACTAATACCATTTACCTCTGAGTGGAAGTGAAGCCAATGCTGGAGCCAAGCCGGGATGCGTTCAGGGACACGTGCTGCGTTCAGGGACACGTCCTTAAAATATACTTTTGAAATAGAAATTGTAAAAAAACGAAATGTTTATGAACTCGGACACATACGTTGAGTCATTATTGAGAGGTTGATCATCAGACCATGTTATCAAAGTCATTTGAGCACATTTAAATACAAGATATTTCTCACTGGCAGAATTGCTCATGAGGCAGAAATTAAAGTCCCAAAGTACATAAATATTTTGAAGTGTGACATATCTCACAAATCTTCTCTTAAAAAACTCATATTTTCAAAGTTCTACTTCCAGATTAACCTCATAAAGCCAGATTACTTTAAAAAAAAATCTGGTTTGATTCCAAAATAATGGATTCTTTCATTTTAAATTATCTGTAAATACCCGATAAAAACAGAATGCTTTCTTTAACGCAGCTCAGAGTTATTTGAGCACGTATAAATGTACAAGATATTTCTCAGTTGCAGAAATTAAGTTTTCCTCCATTAGAAAAAGTTCTACTTCCAGATTCGCTTCATGAAGACAGATTACTGTAAAAAATCCAAAATAATGGATTTTTTTATTTCAAACTCTCTGTAAATACCCGATATAAACAGACTGCTTTCTTCCACGCAGCTCCGACGTGGAGAGCGTTCCGATCGGGCGGTTAAAATGCGAGTCACGCGTCCCTTCTTTGTTTTTACACCTTGTTCTTTACCTTGCTCTGACCCAGAGTACGGAGGTTCGACGGGGAAACACTCAAGTGTCTATTAATGCCTAACAAGTATGCATGGCTGCAGTCAGCGGGATGCAGAGTCAGCCAATGTTGTGATTAAATTGTTCAGATAGCGGACCGACTCTCTGATCCTGATGCAGAGATTCTTCAAGGGCAGGAGGGAAATACTCAGAGCAGGGGGAGGGAAACAACAAGAGGTTAATCTAAAGGTTAAGTTGAGAAAAACACGGTGGAAATATCTGTAAAAACCTCAAAATCTGAAACTTGAATATGAATCTGTAAACCCAACAAAACATAAGTTCACTTGGAAGCAGGAATTCACGATTCAGATTCGATCAGAAGTCCACGATTGCTTCAGCAGAGATCCTTCATGAAGAACCTTTTCTGAGATGAATGTATTTGTATGCATGGTCCTCTTTTAAATAAATACATAATAAACCAAAAACCTTTAGAAAACCTGAGACAAATGATAAAGAAAGACGCAGCCTTGACAACAGCGGAGGGAAACAACAAGAGATCATTCTAAAGGTTAAGTTGAGAAAAACACGGTGAGAATATCTGTAAAAACTCCAAATCTGCCTTCAGTTTTAGACTGTTTTGTTACTTGAATATGAATCTGTAAACCCAACAAAACATACGTTCACTTGGAGGTCAAATGAAGCAGGAGTTCACGGTTCACATTCGATCAGAAGTCGGTGATTGCTTCAGCAGAGACCCTTCATGAAGACCTTGAGAAAACAAACTAAAGATAGAAGGACGCAGCTTTTACAACAAGCCACCTTCAATCCGTTTGGCTCCAGCATTGCTTTCCTCCCTCCATCAAACCTTTAATCCTCACTGGCCAAGTTTGATTTCAAGGTGCACATACAACATGTGGTTTTCTGTGGCGACAACAAAACAAAAAAAAAGAGTCTCTTATCAGAACAAAGGCCACGAAACAGAGACATTGAGACCCACCTGAGAATCCGGCCCATCGCCAATCTCAGCCTCTCTGTCCTCCCCCCTCTGTTTTCTCCCCTCTATCCTCCCCCTACTCTTATTATAGGACAAGGAGGTGAATCTGGAACAGGTGCATCGTCGTATGAACAGTCTTTTGGACGAGGACTTGGTCCACAAGCAGATCCCAGGTCCGTCTATCGAGATCTCTGCGCTGGACATCGGCAAAATGCAGCCCAGCCAGGCCTCTCTGATGCCCTCGGACCTCGCTTTGACCACCTTTCTGCCAGGGGAGGGGGGTCCGCCGCCTCCTCTACCCCACCCTCACCATGGGGGGTCCATAGGGAGGACGCACCACCTGTCCCAGGCTCCTGGCAGCAGCACGTTGCCCCTCCACCTGCACCACCACCACCACCAGGCTCTCAACACCATGCAGTGCAAACACAGGCAACCCAACGGGGGGATTTTCCGCCAGAGTCCTGGCAAGACCCCCACCCAAATGCCAATATCCTACCAGGGAGTCTCCGCAGGACCCATACCCGAAGTCATTGATGCCACACACAGTACGTCCATATAAAAAAGGGTTGTTTTCCCTTCATAGGTGAGTCGCACCTCTGGACTATGGTTTAAAAGATCTCCTATCATGTTTAGTGATCTCCTATCATGTTTAGTGATCTCCTATCATGTTTAGTGATCTCCTATCATGTTTAAAATATCTCCTATCATGTTTTGTGATCTCCTATCATGTTTAATGATCTCCTATCAGAAACAAAAAGAGATTATTCTAAAGGTTAAGGATGTCCTATCATGTTTAAAGATCTCCTATCATGTAAAGGTCCATGTAAAGTGCTATCAAAATGTAATCTTTTATCACTAAATTGAAGCCATCTCCTATCATGTTTAAAAGATCTCCTATCTCTCATGTTTAAAGACATGTTTAAAGACCTCCTATCTCTCCTGGTAAAACATCTTGTGTCATGTTTAAAGACATGTTTAAAGATCTCCTATCATGTAAAGGTCCATGTAAAGCGCTATACAAATGTAATCTATTAGTATTACATTGAAGCCTTGATGCCACACACACGGTACATCCATACACAGAATGATGGTGTTTCCTTTATAGATGAGACTTTTAAAGATCTCCTATCATGCTATTTGTATGCATACATGTCTATGATGTGTTTTGCTCAATACACATATTTCTGTATAAAAGCCTTCAACAAGTGCGTTGTGCATGATAGGAGACCTTTAGATACGAGAGGGAAACTATTATTATCGGAGAAAAAATCTGTACAAAGAAAAAAGTAACATTTTGTATCTCACTATCAGAAAAAAAATATGGGTCTTGGTTTGGGATGGTGGGGGGGGGGGGGGGGGGGTAATTTGTCTCTTGTACATATGTGTAAATACCAAGAGAACGAAGTGAGGTTTAAAGTGTATTTTGAATATTCTCAATTTTTTGAAGTTGAGTTATAAAAAACCCACAAAACGAGATAAAAAAAATATATAACCCTTGATGAAAAAGTTCTGACTGTTTGAATGGCTTTGTACATTTTGTTCAATATGAAACGATGACGCGAAATTCATTGTGATTGTTTTCTAAAGTGCCGAAATTAAACGATGTCTCTCCACAACTCATCGATGTAAACGACTACCCATGATGCACCGCTGTAGGGACATTTTAGTGTTGGACACCTACTGTTATGCATCTCTGTACCAACCCTATATATATCAGAAGGATCACAACCTTATTTTACTTTGTATTAAATATATAATATACATTGTTTTTTCAGATCTAAAGTCTACATTCATTTTCTTACGTTGACTGTAAATTGTGTATTGTTGGCGGGGGGGGGGGGGGGGGGGGGGGGTTCATATTTTACACACGGCGTAGTGGTTTGTTTTTGAAAGTAGCTTCTTCTGTTGGCGTTAGTCCTGTTTGGTTTCAGAAAGAGGAGGAAGGAGAGACTCTTAGGCTGCGAGCGCCGGTGGTCTGTTGGGACGACCCGTTGATCATCTAAGATTGGCCTCATTGGGAAAATGTGATTCTGCAGATGCACTGTTACCAGATATCAGTCATCTTTGTACAATAAGAATCAATATCACAAAGATATGTTTTTAAAAATGCAATTTTAGATCATTTTTAAATACCAGAAACCAGAACATTGGGACATTTCTTAGTTTGGTGCTGAGATATTTTAGCAACCGTTGGACGGATAAACATGAAGTTTGGTACAAAGATTGATGATCTCTAGCACTTCAATTTGGACCCTTAACTTTTATACATTTCCTTTTAATTGAGCAGTTCAATTGACTCCTTAAAAACCCAAAAGCATTGACTTTGGAGATTACGCTTTGGGCATTTTGTCCCAATTCATCTCCAAAAGGTATTTACAGTCTCAGATAGAGATGGGTTATTAATACAGATATATATATACTACTATCTAAGATTGGCCTCATTGGGAAAATGTGATTCTGCAGATGCACTGTTACCAGATATCAGTCAATTTGGAAAATAAGAATCAATATCACAAAGATATGTTTTAAAAATGCAATTTTAGATGCAATTCTAGTTCGTTTTTAAATACCAGAAACCAGAACATTGGGACATTTCTTCAGATATCAACTTTGTTTGGTGCTGAGATATTTTAGCAACCGTTGGACGGATAGCGATGAAGTTTGGTACAAAGATTGATGATCTCTAGCACTTCAATTTGGACCCTTAACTTTTATACATTTCCTTTTAATTGAGCAGTTCAATTGACTCCTTAAAAACCCAAAAGCATTGACTTTGGAGATTACGCTTTGGGCATTGTGTCCCATTTCATCTCGAAAAGGTATTTACAGATGGGTTATTGATAAAGATATATAAATACCAGCACTTATTACTGTCCGATACATGTCTTAAATATTCTCTCTGAAGAGGATGATCGGAAACGTTGGGAAATGCCTTGAAGTTTGTTCAAAGCATTTACAATTAGTGATCTCCTGAGGTGTTTGTACTCAACACAACATGTTGGTTTTCATTGGTTACCGAGTCCAAGGTGTTCTTTAAATGTTACAGAGCCACCTGGTCTTTAGCCATTCATTCCTAAATGTTGGAACCAAAACTTTGTTGAGCTTTATTCTTCATATAAAGCTCTTTCATTGGTTGCCATTCCTCTTTAGCGTACTCTATGTTTTCGGGGTTTTCTTTTCGTGAACGCAGCCTAACAGTCTCCAACCTTTTGTTAATTTGTTATATTTAACCTGAAGAAAGAAGTCCTGTAGAAAGAACTATCAGCTATATAGATATGTCTTTACTTTTTGATACTAGAGAATTTAATGTGGACCCTTGTATACAGGTAGTTTTTCTCTTGCAGAGCAGTGCAGTTATTTTAGTCGCTCAGAGCGAGTGAGATATCCCCGTCCTGAAGAGATCCATTATCCAAAGTGCAATCAGAGCTGCAGGCGCCATACCTCAACTGCTGTAATATAGAGGGACTGATTATGTTTGCTAAAGATTGTTTTTCCTTTATAGAATACTGTATGATGAACCTTTGTGGACAACAGGATATATTAAACCACACACCCTCCTTTCTCTGCCTTCATAAGTGCAATTAATGTGCATTTATGGGCCTGATGAGTTCTGAGAGACGCAGCTCGCTGTCTCTTAATGGGTTTCTTTTACGAAATGTCCTCATTTTAATGTCTGCAGAGGAAAGTAGAGGGACCCTAACTTGACAGAATGAAGGGCTTCATTTCTCAAATTCATTTCCAGCTACGCTAACTTTAGATTCAGCAGTTAACGTCAACTTAGCTGAATCCTAAGCGCTAATTAATCCAATACGATGTTCATTTTTAGGGAAACTGCATTGATTTGAGACGAAGTTTACGACCAACACACTTCTTCTGGTGCTTGACATTTTAAAAAGTTCTTAATGTGGAAACAAATGGATCCACATGTTCAAGAAGCGCTGGCGTTAGACTTTATGTTTAGAGATACTGCACTGATTTGAGTCTAAGTTTCCTAAAACCGTAAAATCAGTTTCCCTTTTGCTCTTTAAAAAGTTCTTATATGATAACTGTGAGTACTAAAGCGTTGCCGTTGAATCGTCCAATCCAGACTTTTCGTAGGGACATTTGAGTCAGAGTTCATCCTGTTGATTCAGATCTTCTCTTGACCCTAACTCTACAGAAACCACATTCATTTCTCTGCTCAGAAACCATGGAGAAATCACATGTTGTTGCCAAAGGGGGGTTGAAGGCTGATGTTGTGTCCCTGTGTGAATACAGATTCTTTCCTGCATCAGATAAACTGTCCCTTGTGTTTCCTTCTGTTGGACGACTCGTCTCCTCAGACTCTTTGTGGATGTTTTCTAACCGTAGCTTTTTCTCGTTGCTTTTTCACTTCACGACGATACGACGGGTGCACTTGAGAGGAGCCTGAAGCTTACTGTGATTGGTCGGCAGACAGAAAGTAAACAGGAAGTGTGTCTCCATGTGTCGTCGTCCCCCTTCTTTAGTCCCCGTCAGAAGATAAAACTGTCATCGCATAAAGTCTTTCCGTCCATCTGACACCCTGATTTTATTTATGAATATGCTGCTTGGAGTTTCTTAAATCTTTAATAAAGAAATATTGTTTACACATTGGTTTCTGAGGTTGTGTCGATGACAGTTGTTGTTATTTACACCACACTGAGATTACTTACAACAGTCGATAGCAGCTGATCCTCACATATAGAAAGGTGAAAAAGAACATATTTAGAATTGTTAATCGATTATCACCACTATTGCTGGAGATTATTTTTCTGTCATTGGACAAAATGACTTTTTACTTTAAAGCAAAACAAAATTCAATAAATAAATGACTCTTTAAGAAGGACATGACATGTTAGATGCTTTTATCCAAAGCGAGTTACATACTCAATACTGTGGGCAATCCCCACAGGAGCACTTTGGGGTGAAGTGTCTCAAGGACACAACGACATGCTGACTGCAGTGGGGTTTGAACCTGTGACCCCCTGATCCCAACACCAAGGCACAACCCACTGCACCACACGCCTCCCAGGACATTTCATTAAAGGTAGTGTGCAACAAATAGTATATATACATCTAAATGCATTAGTTCTGGGTGTGGAAATCATACCGGATCTCTTTTCTGGCTAACTAAGCACATTTTATACATATGTATTTATTAAGTTGAAAAAATGTATGTGTTTACTTTTTGGTTATTTGAGTTATATGCTTTTTTGGAGCGTGCACAGTTATTATTTAAAATATGTATATATTACAATTAAGTGTTAAATTAATTTGGAAAAAATACACATTTAATAATTAATCACATTTAAATTAGATTTTGCTTTACATCTTGAAGGGAAAATCATAAAAGTTAATTTTGTTTAGATAATTTACAAGTTTTTTCTGAGTCTCCATCTAGTGGCCATTAGAGGAACTGCAGCGTGTTCTTCATAGCTGCTGCTCATTAGCACCGTGTGAATAAAGAAAAGATGATAAATATTTAAAACACCTGACATATTCTGTGTAATCTCATCCTCACACACACACACACGCACACACACACACACACACACACACACACACGCACACACACACACACACACACACACACACACAACTCCTCTCACAGCTTCCTGCCGTCAGCGCCTGGCACAAAACATCCTCCACTCTGTCAATTAGGGGGAAGATTTAGTGTGACGCACCGGGAGGAGGAATCAAACCGACACACACACACAGGATGTCAGCTGTCCTCTGGCTTTAAACTCAGCTGCGTTTCCTGTCAGCGCTGCGAGAGGCTGACGAGGACAAATGGGAACACGGTCGCCTGGTTTAGTGACGGGAAATCTGATGTGTTGGTGCTTTATAAAACACAC